TATTATTTATTATAAATAAAGAGATTTTAACAATATTTAGCTAAATATTTTTGCCAAAAACTTAAATTGACTCTATTATGAATATTATGATGCCTCAGTATTGAMATAAAGGTTACGAAATGACTGCTAGGAATATAATACTTTTTTTTTATAAAGTAATATGCATTTTTTTGGTCAAAAAACAGTTCAAAATATCACATTACTAATTGAAAATATAATAAAATGCCTTATGAAACATTCTTTGGAGGCTGGGTGTCCATCTCAACTTCAAATAGTTGTTCTTTTTTTTTTTAAGTGAAAGCTATCAAATTTACCATCGAGTTCAAATTTAAAACATCTATTATAGCAATCAGCTCAACAAAATGGTACTAGAAGTAGGAGTATTCTATTTATTGGACATATTATATAATATGTATAATACTAACGTGTTAARAGTTTATTCACTTATTCTATATTTTAATTTAATCATATACCTAATTATCTTTAATACTAATTTTCCATGTATTTGAATTAATCAGTAAGAAAATAAAAAATGTAGCTACCTATTATTCGTTTAAAGTTTATCTGTTAAGGTACCTACACTCGCATGTTTATATAAATACTCATCACACGCAGACCTTGTTTGACACTGAAATGCGATTTTCTATATTATTATGAATTATAATTTAATAAAATAAAYCATATTTAAAATCTCTACCATCCCTAAAACGTCGTGTATAGTTTTATTATTATTATTATTTTTTTTTTTTTTATTACCGAGGACCTTAGTTTTTTTTTTTTAGAAATGTACCTTCATTTATTTTAATAGTCTTCATAATTTTTCAATTGTTTAAATTTTGTGGGTGAAAAAAATTATGACCCAGATAGGATATATAATAACGGGCATAATGTGTACAAAATAGTCCACCATCTATGCATTTTCAAGTATAATTTAAGGCAACCAACCGTTTAATATATGAACCCTGACGGTGGCCGAATTTGCATTTGACGGATCGCAAGAGTAGTAGCCGGTATCTGAAGACGACGCCTTTTGAATTAATAATCTGCTGCTGGTGGTCGACCCTTTTTCCGTTACCAGGCTTATTCCGCCTCGCGGAGAATCGAAATTTATGGGCTGTGAACCGCACACACACATAAAAAAAAAACCATGTAGCAAAACATATCATTTTGAAAACCAAATCCGAAATGGACCATTCTTCTTAGTCAATGTTGTCGAAAATAGAACGTAAATTATGCCACTCACTTGTTTTTCGTGCGTCCATCCGACGGTCGGCGGAGGTTCCGGTGCGAACTGCACCAAGCAGGTGAGGTTTATTGTGCTACCCTGATCAATGAACAGCTCCGGACCTCCCAGTATTTCGGTAGTTGGTTCTGAAAATAAAGCAAACGTTCTCAAAACTATTCTGCAAACAAATCACARTACACATTTTTTCATCTTGGAAACTTTGGTTGATTATTAATAATTTTACCAAGATTCATTTATGAATAAATATTATTGCAATTCAAATTATTGCCTTGTGYTTCAGCTACACAGTGTTTACTTAATCGCATAATAATAAATACAATAGAATAGTTAGTGATAATTTACATTGTGCACATKTAAAAATTTTCAAAGTTATTTGTTAAGATTATAAACGGCAAAAAAATTGTAGAAGTACGAGGAAACAAATTAACRGCTGTACAATTAATACCTCAGATATTGAAGAGTATTTTCCAAACAGTGTGTTACCAGAAACTGACACATTATAATATTATATAATGTTGATTTCGGAAATTATTTATCTATCTTACTATATAAATAAGAATTGTCACTATGAGATGGWATCCTATGTAATGAACCTTCACGCTAWGTTTTGACCGGTGCAGTAAAATTATACTTGTATAATAATAACTATATTATTATTTTATTGCCGATAATACTATTATGATGACACRGCATCTTGTATGTCTTGTATAGGCAAATTAGCTACACCTCTGGCGTTGGTAAATTCATTCGGTATCTATTAATAAGTCGATTAAATTGTATGCATCATACTTTTAGGAACAATAAAAAAAAWATATGAGTAAGTTAGACATCAGTAAGACACAATTAAGTATATTACTTATATTATGGAKGTAACTATAACATATGACGACTCTAGAAGATAACAAGGAACTGTAGGTATAAAATTAATTTGGTATATTAATTTGTATTTGTGTATATATCAGTATTATTATTACACGTTATCTTTTATCATGTAACATCGAAGTATTTTTCAATATTATGTTCGTCTTTGGAACACTTGAATTAAAATCAAATTCAATTTATAAGTATGTTTGTTAAATAAAAAGTTTTCTATATGAATCGCATATATTATGCATGACATAGAAGATGCTTAAGATAATTATATTCAAACACCAGTGATATAGTGAAATCAAATAACTATTTAATTAATTCCGAATTAACTATTTATGTAATTAAAAATATTATTTTATGCATATAACCTATAGTTGAGTTATTGTAATATCTACTATATTATGCATTTTTATCATCAATTTATTTATTTTGAATATACGAATAACTTTATAAATGTATGTACTTTATCGATTTCAGTAAATATTGATCAATGTAAGCAAATATAACTAATTASAAATTCAGAATACTAAATTTTGTTTTTTAAAGAAAAACTGGAGTGTGTATAAATAATTCATAATATTTTATAACTTTAATACTAAAAAACTAAACAAAAACGTTCAATTTTTCTTTTACAGAACAATAATAGTTTTTTTCAATGAATAGGTTTAAATAATAATTTAAATTTAAAAAAAAATATTTTCAATAAGTGTGGTAAGTATAATAGTCTATATACTACAGATTTATATATTTAACATATTATACGCTGCAGATAATGCTGTTTGTAAGATTGAAGACAAAATAAATTAATCAATAATAACAACCAGAAAATAACTATCTCCAGTAACATTGTATTTATACAAAAACGCCAAATCTACAGTAGAAATCTAAATCAAATGGCAGTGAATGCGTATTTTGTTGATAACGATGATGTAATMTTTAGTAAAGATTGAAAAATTATATTTTGATAGCAGCTAGTTGKGAATAAAATATGTACTACATAATTTTGTATACATTTGATTTATAAATTCCTGATTGATTACATTTTATGTTGTATTTGGTGTATAGTTTGCAGTTTTCCTACCTAATTTGATTTTCGTTCAATGTCATTCGTAATTAAAAAAACAAATGTGTCTTATGTAGTTAACAATATAATTATTTGTTTGACAACAAAATAAGTTCCGTTAAACTTCAACACTCTGAAAGGGTTTAATTTGAACATTAGGTAATAATAATGTAATGCAATTAAACAAATAAAAATAAACATAATAATGTAGAATAATCCCAACGAGCAATGATATGAGAATAAAAATTGAAACACCCATACTCAAGTTGTCACCAATATTTTATATTAAAAAACTGTCACACTCGATATAGAATGGTATCTCTATATTTTCGTAGAACCCAATATATAWTTTCACCTTAATAATTGTCACCATGTGAATGTAATACTTAGGTAGAATATAATATCATTTTTTTTCATACATATTTTTAGTATACTTTCCTGTGTAAATGCAATTTATGTGTATGATAGTATATTACTATACTGGTTATATTATATATATATATACAAAAATATATGTGTTATATTGTTGGAATAAATTTAAATTAATTGTACGTCTAAGTTCAGACCAACCTACCAAAGTATAATAATTACATTAACAATTGGTTTACA